TTGCTTGTTTGTTTTGGCCACAGTCTGTCTATCACACTAAAATGAAAGCTCCATGAGGATGAGTTTTATTTTGCTTCTTTCGTTCATGATTACATCATAGGTATCTGTGCCTAGAAGAGTGCCTAGCAGAGAGCCCACCTGAAATATTTGTGGGATAAAGAAAACAAGTAAATTAAAAAGCAAATGGGATCAAAGCAAGTCAAAGGGGCAGTTTCCCCAGGGTATAGCCCCAGTTACAAGCACGAACACTTCCAGGAGATAACTGTGCATTTTATTAGAGTGAACTTGGCCAGCTGGGGGTGTGGCCAACTGGAGAGAGTATTCTGAATCTAAAGTGGACTGAGACCTGCCTAAGGCCCAGCTGCATGTATCCTTGTTGGAATGAGGGCCTAACCCTCACGTTTTTGTTTTCGTTGCTCTGTTTCATTTTCAGGAGATGCCAGAAACATGAATTTTCATTGTGTGAAATCTCTCAAATGTCTAAATAAAGTAACTAATTCAAAATAGAAAACAATAAAAACACAAAGATAAACAAAACCTGGCAGCTGACTGAGATTGGTCCCTGGGCCGCCTGCTGGTCTTAGTTGGACTTAATTGTGTTATGTATATAAGAAAATCAATCCTTGCTATGGTGAGGTAGGTTTGCCTTGTGTAATTCTTAAGGCAGTCAGTCTCAGGCCATATTGGGTGGAGAGAATAAACTATATTTACCACCTTCTTTCAACTCCAGGGAGATCGTTGCATCTCCCACTATGCATGGAGTTAGGGTAACCTGGGCAGCAGGAAGTCACCAGCCCTCTTTCTTTGGGATCTGGCATATAATTTAGTGAAGGTTATGGTTGCAGAAACCAGTGAGAAGGTTTTCAGATGGGCTTACAGGAGAAAGACTAGGGAAAGGCAAGAAGGGAAGAAAGAGAAAGACACAGATCTATCTGTGCATCAGACACTATAGTTTTGAGGGACTTTTGGGGGGTTGGGGCTCCCTCTCTCCACCAACCTTGACCCCTCCTTGTGACACTACACAGCTGAGGGAGTTAGTTATACCAAGTCACAACTCTAAGCCCAAATGCCCCATGGCATCTGCCTCACCTGGAAACAAAGAGCTGCACAGACTTCTATCACTGGTCTCTGTGAGCTGGGGTAGGCAAGACTGGTCAACAGGTGCCTGCGAGGGGTCTGAAGACCCAAGGTTTGTGGGGAAGGTCTAACCAGAATGTGGCTTCTTGGGGGAGCAGGCCTGTTTTAGTGGATCACTGGTCACAGCCACCTGTGGTTTCAGGCAGCTGTTGAAAGAAGCATGGACAGTTAAGTACTCCTTATACTCTGGAGAGAAAAACTAGGCTCAATTCTCTGATGCCGCTCATCTCTAGATAGAAAAAGAACATTCCAGTAGAAGGAACAAGAATGATTAGACTGCTGTACCTGAATTCAGAAAGGTTTAATTTTTCTGGATACTTTCCAAATACAAGATGGCACTTCTCTTAAGTTCTGAGAGCCCCACTAACCCATCTTCTACCAATATTGTTTATCTAACACAGGGCAAATGTGAGGAGACACCCCATAGCCCAGCAATTGAGAGGCACCATGTTAGTGTGTTTACGCCGAACCCCTCCAAACCCTATCCCACATAGCCTTTTCCTTTATGTATCCTTTAGCCTCTCCCCAGATCCCTGTCAGGTTGATCCTTCTCCCCTTTACTCTCGACCTGTTCTAAGCTTCTTTAAGTTCTTCTCTACTCTATTTATTCTCTCTTTTCCTCTAAGCCCCAATATCTCACTCTCTCTCTCTGTTATTCATCACTCCCTTCGCAGTTCGATGTTTCTTCCACATAGGTCATCCTTTCCCCCAAGGAGCCTGTGCCTTTCTGGCTCTTTTCCATCTCCTCCTAAGCAGTCACCACCTCCTCTCTTCACCCGTCAAAGCCAATCTATAGTTCTTTCCCCTGCTCCCTTCAGACCAGACCAGCTAAATCCGGTGCCATTTTTAGATGACTGATTATGATTCTAGCTGAACTTTATTCACAGCTGAAATTGTCAGCTGTTCCTTCCTTTCATCCACCATCTACGAATCACACCCAATCTTTTCGACAAGAGGAAGTGCTTACACACAGCATGTCATGTACACACAAGTTTGTATTTTGTAGAGCTAAACAACTGTTAATGCTACCAAAGATATTGGGTTATGAAAGATCCTTAAGCTTTCAAAACAGTGAAAAGCAATATTTTTTGCATGTCTAGAAATTATACATTTGTTTCCACATACGTGGCAAATTTTACGCTAACAGTTAGGACTTTTTCACCAAATCATAGACATAGATATGAAAATCATCATCAAACTTGATGAAATACACAGAAGGCTTGGCTTCCACTTGGTGAATGACCATGCCGATCCTTTTGGAGCCATCTTCTTTGGTATATTCCACATGCTTACCTATCAAGCCATCTACAACTCCTCCTGGCTCCCTCTCTGTTGGAGGAGACTCACTGGATTCTGGCATAATACGGAGATCACCTTCTTTATAATCATCTAGAAGCTGGTACATGTACAAGACAGGATCTTTCTCATAGGTAATATAAAACCAGGCTTTCATGATAGGTGCTTGTGCTAAGACCATCCCCCTCCATTCATCCTTAGAACCATGCTCTCCCTCAAACATGTGTTCCACTGCTTTGCCAATTATGGTATTTGCAAGGTTGGCATCACTAACTTGAGATGATGCCACCCTGTCGGAAAGAATTTTAAGAGACAAAACCCTTTCATCTCTGTGAAGTTCCAGTCCATAGACACAGTCAATTCCATCATATTTCACCAGATAAAGAGAGGGATTTATAGGCACCTGATCCAGAACGGTTCCTTTCCACTGGGTGATGGGCTCATCTCCTTCCTTCCATCCGTGAGAAATTCTGCAGCCCACGATGTTCCTGCGGGGCTGGGATGAAGGTCTGCCTCTCTGCTTCTTTTGGGAGACTTTTTTCTTTGTCATGTTTCCAGACCCGGTGGCCCGTCCTGCAGCTGCCCTGGTTTGTTGCCCTTCGGCTTCCTGTGTGTCGGGAGTCTTCATGCCTGCTGGGGGAGGAGAGAGGAAAGAGACACATATCCAGTGTGCCACAAGGCAAACTTTTCCCTATGGCCATGTCTGGACGTACTCTGCACTAGTGCCTAAGTTTTCCCCAGGAGCCTGGAAGCGATGCTGGAAATCCTGGCTGCGTGCCTGCTGTGCTCTCCCTCTTAAGTTCCTTTGGGCTGTGGAGAAGGGCAGCAGTGGTGGGGTAGAGCTGGCTGGGGTTAGGGAGTCTGTAGAAGTGGCTGGGCCACCTCCTGCTAGCTCAGAGCCCGCTGCCCTTCCCCAACTCCTTACTGCCACTGGCGTCCACTCCCAATCCCCTGCAAAGCGTCTTTCACCGGCACCCACTGCCCTCCTGCCCTGAGTG